TTATAATTTTATTTGCATGTAACTAACATTTATTTTTTCTTTTGTTTTTAAAGGTTTTCAACCTGAACCCAAAGTGTCTTGTAAAAAACTTGTGAACAGAAAATCAATGTTCAAGGTTCAAGGTTCACGGCTTTTATTTGTCATACGAACATAGCTACAGTGTAGTTATGACGATGAAAATCTGAGGTCACAGGCTCCTCCAACAGTGCAAGTAGATAATAAACACAAAAAGAAAAATAGTAAAAAAGTGAAATTGTTAAATAGTGCAATAAGAGTCTATATACAAATTGGAATATTATATATTAGATAAATCATTTCTAAGTAGCAGCCAGACAGTGGCGGCCGGCCCATAGGGGTGCGAGGGCCGCCGCCCCCCCCTCTTCCCACATTAAAAAATTTAAAAAGATTAAAAAATATATATTTAAAAAATATATTTTTTATTTTTATTTTTAATAAACAAGGTAAATAATTATATAATTGGTATCAGTAAAATGTATAATCTACAATAAAATCTCGTTTAAAATTGTGTTACGATGTCTAAAGTTACTGATAAGTCACATGTTTCCTGCCTGGCCTTGCCCGTGTATCATTACCCTCTCTCGTCTGGGCGCTATGCACAGCGCCCAGACGAGAGTGCAGCAGAAGCCAACTGTTGCTATCTTTAAACTATGCCGCCAAAACATAATTTCAGCCAATCAGCGTAGTCAACCAATCAGCGTAGTCAAATCTGATGGTCACAGGGCGCCTACGTCAGCGCCCGGTGCAGTCTGTGAGTTGTTTGGACTCGTATCCAAGGAGACAAAACAGGAAGCTGTCATTCAATCTGGAAGCTATTATTAGCAGCTAATATGAAAACTCCGTTTTTGACATAAAAATGGATTTATGGATTATCAATACTTTTTCAAAGTGACATTGGATTAACCTTCAGCCGCGTTTTTGATCAGAATAACAGCAAAAGGTGAGCATATCTCCGTGTTTTGCTACCTAAAGCTACGTTGTGTGATGTCTGTATTTGCTTCAGTCAGGGTACTCTCTATGGTGCACCTGTATAATATAGACAAGAAATTATTTGAGTTGTCCATGATTCCTCTATTGCCCTCAAGCCTATCAAATTTGGGGAAACACTGCATATAGGCCAAAAACTCAGAAGAACTTGACAGTTATCCTGCATTAAAACACCACCCTGTTACTGAGCATCTCTACTGAGCATCAGGAGACCGCTGTCTGGCTAGTTTACTACCAGATAGCGAGCATATATGAACAGTTTTGGACCTGCTCTTCCTCTTATCTGCTCTCTAATCCCCAGCACCATGTTAGCAGCCGTCCAGCTGTAGGTGGAGCGGTGGCTGTCGACCAGATCAGACAAACAGGAGTCTCCCTCTGCCCTGGGCCACGTGTAATTACTCCCACAACAAAAAGCTCAAGTGAGCAGAGGAGTGGAGGCTGCCAGGCCCGATGGAAAAATGGCAAATTCTCTTTCTTCTTATCCAACTCTCTCAGTTGTAGATTTTTGTCTTTTCCCCACGCTGTCTCTTCAACTGTATCTCCCTTTTTTCTCTCCCGTATACACACACATAAATAATGAAGCATAACAACACAAGCTCACACAGCGTCACATGACTCAGTTGGTACACAAGTCTGCACACACACATGCAAAACACAGACACAACGCGCCGATTGCCACACAACAATAACAACATCAACAACAACAACATCAACAGCGCTGTTGGGAGTCCCGGAGGTTTCCCGGAGCACTATGGTTCATAAAAAGAGTTTTATGCAATCTGAGAGACTGGGAAAACAGCGCTACGCTAACAATCCCACCCACAGCTAGCTTACTGTTAACAAGAGTCACAGCTGGAGCTACTGTACTTCCCAAAACATCTGAGACTGGAATTTTATATGGATTAATATCAATTCAAGTGACTCACTCCTGGAGTTTCTTTGTAATAATGATATTTTCTCATGTATAGGTCTATAATCTAAGACTTTTATGAGAATATCCCAATCTCCCAAGCTTCCCCTTAGCATTTTTAGCTAGTTAAAAGTGCAACGTGTAAGATACTGCCAGAATTTTAACTTCAAACATAAACAAAATTGAACAATTATTATCAGATGGATGTGAAGAGGCTACATTGTTGATGTGATGTCAAAGATGTCTCTATTTTATTATAGAGTTATATCTCTTAAAATGCTAACCGACTAGCACATGCTGACATTTTTTGTAAAACCACTTGTTTCTCGAGAGGATAGGTTTGCATTCGATAGTTCGTTTTTGGGGATTAAACCCCAGTGGCAGAAAGAAGGAGATGACTAGCTTCCTGCCTTTTTTTATTGTATCTTTGCTGTACATTTTGATTGTGTGAGAGGTAAAATGCTACCAAAGATTCATTTAATAGAGCAGCAGTTAATGTTGCAGGAATTGCCAGATTTTGATAAAAAGCTTCATTCCTAAACCAAAACTCAATGATACAAATAGAAGTTTCTAACAAGCGCTCAGGGATTTATGCATTAGAAGTGGTGCTAGATGTACTGTCGCCTGACTGTGTGAACATGCCACCTGTTTTGCTAAAAAACATTCACAAGCTTGTTAAAAATGGCCAATTTTTAGCTGTGATAACGCCGTATCAAAATAATAATGTGCAGATAACCTGTGAAAACAAACATAACTGACCTGAGAAATTGCACCTCTCTGAAATAGAAACAGCTGGCACTGTAACTGAGAAATGAAGGTAATTAGCACAAACAACAGAATGCTGGGGTCAAAGACACACCTTGTTTGTGCACATGAACAAACAATACATTCTCACCTTAAAAGCACATGCACAGACACACTGAGACGCGCCTTCTTCTTCGAATGAAGCTCCGACACTTGCAGCACGTGAGGGAAGCCTCGTGCAGGCGAGGAGGGAATCTACAGGACGAAGAGTGTGAAATTTAACAGCTTAGCATGTCGTCTCTCACCGCAATAAATCACGAGGATTCGCCTGTGACTCAGAAGTTAGGAAACTTCAAAAAGGAAAATCACTTTCTTGCAAGAAGAAGTAAGAAGCTGTGCATAATAACACACTTAACATTCAGTGACAGGACAAAGATGTGAAAAAGACGAGATGTTCTTAACTTTCAAATCCTTAAGTTCTTTTGTCAGTTTTAAAGGTCCCATGTCATGGCCATTTCTACTGATCATAATTCCAATCTTGAGGTCTACTAAAATAAATGTATATTGTGCAATTTTCCAAACTCACATTTGTTTCTCATACAGCATCTCTGTATAGTCTGTGTATTCACTCTGTCCTGAACGGCTTGTTGGAGCCCCTGCCCCCCCTCCCTGTGAGCCCAGTGGCCGTCTGCGAGACAGCGAGACACAGCGATACCCAGCCCGAAACACACACACACACACCCGCAGCCTGGCTGCTGGGAGTTTGTGTGTGTGCCCAGGCTGAGTTCCGCGGTGTCTCGCTGTCTTACACCAAGTGAGCCAGCTCACGGTGTCACAGTGTTCCGCTCCTCGCAGCAGCGAGCCTCGCAACGTCCCGCTGAGTGTGTGTGAGGAAGTCCGCGGATTGGTCCAAACGTAACCGTGGACGTAACGTAACGGAGCCGTTACGTTATGTCACTATACCCGAAATACGTTACTTTACCCAAGAAGTAAAAAATGGAAAAAGAGAAATGTCCAACGAGGCGTTCTGGGGCAGCATAGACAGGTCTTTTCTGTGTTAGAGTTTTACTCCCTACAGGGTGTAGCTACTTTGATGGTTTGTGACTCTGCAGACCGTTTACATGCAGAAAAACCTTCATAACACACAAGGGGATGGGTGATAACTAGAAAAGCATGACATGGGACCTTTAACAATAGGGTTGAACAAAGCAAAAAGCGTGCATTCTCCATTATATTCACAACGCAATTATTTCTACCATTAATCTGATTGTTTTGAAATGTATGTAGTTTTTCATTTGTGCACACCGAGATTGATTTTGCTTAAACTGACTGAAACTATAAAATAATTGCTAACAGAAAGCAAAGTCCAGATGAAGAGGCAGCTGTCGATATTAAAGCAACATTTAAAATAAATTATGATAATGTAATGCAAGTTCTAACTTTATTTTTTGTTATTTTCTTTGAGACGTCTCTGTTATCTTCAATCTGTTTCCCCTTTGGCAAGCTTCTCCATTTCATTTCTTATTGCATTTTGGTATGCTGTGTGCATACCAACAATTGATCGAGTCCTTTATAAGAAACTATACTTCCAAAACTGTCCAGAACATCGACTCAATATTTTACTATGTGATCTTTTTCTGTCCTTTTTGTATCTGAAATGTGGGCAGTTCAGTTGTGATCAACCAGCCCGTTGGAAACTGGGCCATAGCTTTCCACGCTTCATTGCAAAAGGGGCAAAGAAAACAATTAAAGATGGCCAGCGTGCACAAAACAATGGACACAGATGAATTGAATGCAGCTGCTGATTGCTGTTGTTATAGACACGTTTTAAATCAGTAACACCGCCCACTTTGAGAAACAAGCCAAAATAACCATTTCAATATTATGCATCATTCTCCAAAAAGGTTTTAAAAAGAATGACATAAAGAGGCTTTGTAGGGACATTCAGGCGTGGAGGTTTGAATCCTTAGCAGTCGTTGTTTCACAAACACGTCACAGATTATTTTGTGGTATTTGGCTGCCGAACGAAATCATGTACGCAGCCTGCGACGTAGCCTAACTAGGAGTCTAGTGGACGGTATCAGTACATCAAAACATTTAATTTTCTTCTTTTTATTAATTACTTTGTTTATAAATTTTATAAACAAAGTAATTAATAAAAAGAAGAAAATTAAATGTTTTGATGTACTGATACCGTCCACTAGACTCCTAGTTAGGCTACGTCGCAGGCTGCGTNGCCTTTTTGTCTGACCTGCCCCTCTGGAGAGAGCGAGAGTTGTTTTTTCTTTTTTCTGTTGTGGCCGAATCAACATGATAAGCCCACAATTAGTATTGTGGCGTCTCACTGCGGGAAACACACTTTGTCAGCCCCAAGTCACGTGACTTTGTTTACAATCTGACAGCTGGAAGCAAAGGAAAGCCCTCCGGCCTCATATGGCTATGGTGATCACACCAAATGCCTGCCTGGCGTTAGAGTATAGGGGACAAACCAGGGGACTTTACTTCCTCTTGACACCATCGGTTGATTAAAAAATAAAAACACCTAAATATGTTATTGTGCTTCTTTCTTTCTGCGTCCTTTACCCTGTAAACTCCCTCACCCTCTCACAGGAGAACACTTCACTGTCCCGCTTCATTGTAGGATTTCTGCCATGTCCCTACTTCAGTTTGACCATCTCTGTTATTAAGTTATGGAATACTAAATAAATAAGTAATTAGATACCTTACCGTTACTGCGCTCATAAAGAATGATAATGATAAGAATAATGCCTATTGAACTGGGAGGCCCTTTTTCCAGTTTAGAGCAATAGCCACTCCAAATGTCTGTGCACGTCCCTGAATGGTAATATGTTGTGTTGGTGTGTTTTTCAAAGCTACAGCAAGTCTGTGGATGCCTACATATGACACCTATATGCACAGTGTGTTCCACAATGGATGTAATCATAATATTATACACAACTCACACTGTCTAAGCTGTAGATTGGGACCATCCACAGTATTCTGAAACACAAACAGACACAAATGATTAAATAGCAGTTTCAGACTGTTGTTCATGATTGGCATGCCTGCTGACTTCTTTACCTGATGATGGGTTTCTGAAGCTCTGGCTGAGTGTAGTGAACCAGATGCTGCAGGATGCCCCATAATGATATGGGTATGGTCATGAAGACAAATATCCCAGCGATGAACCATGCTTTGTTATGAGTGCCAACCTGTCATTACATGGGAAGAAACAGACAAAGTTCAAATCACTTGTTTTTACATTTAAGTAAAAGCTGATTTTGTAGTCAAGTACCAGGCGTGCTCAGTTACATTTCACCACTGTGTTAAACCAACAGAATACAAATTCAAGTCCCAGGCTTCTCCAACAATGTAACATAAGGATATATAAAGACAACAAATGTAAAGAAAACAGGCAAAAGGGAAACGGAGTAGAAATAAAATAAAAATGGTCAAAGAGAATGTTGCAAGACCAATATGCAAGTATTGCAGAATAAGTAAACTACATGTAAAATAAAATACAATAAAATAAATGTTGCAGAGAATGTAGCAAGAGACAAAGTCAATGCAGGAGTCTACATACAAGTAAAATAGCATAGGATAAACAAGAACAGAATGTACAATTAAGAACTGAATGTCAAATTAAGCAACATATGAATCATATCCAGCAATTGTTTGAACTGACCCCTGACTTCTGCAGTTCCCAGATGCACAGTGGCAGGACGACTAGGAGCAACAATATATAAAGCACGACGACCAGCGGCCGGATCCATCTTCTCCAGTTGCCACAGGAACAAGGCATGTTGACATGAAGACGCTGCAGGCAAGGCCTTTATAAACTAGCTGCAGGTTAGCAGGTGACAAAACAAATGACCTAACGCTCCACACATTAAACGTTAGCTTTGCATTGTTATTCTTCAAAAGGCTCTGCGAGACACAGGACAACCTCTCACTTGTGTACAGGTACGTTAGCTATCCCAATAATGTGAATTCACACTCGTGACTGAGGACAAAGCTGCTGGAAGATAACAGCTCATATGACTCGATTTGTCAAGCTAGGTTGCTAACGTTAGCTAGTCAGCTTTTCATTATGTAAACAAACAGAGCAGATGATCCAGTCTGAACGGATGAAAGTGCCTCAATGTCTACCAAAATAAAATAAAACTCATCGCTGATATATCAATCCTCTCTCTAGACAAATTCATTCTTTACACTATTTGTTTTGGTAGCTTCTCGCTGTTAAAACTTTCCTCAAAAGTAATTGCCGTTTAATGTGTTCTTCCTGTTGCCTGCGTCATACGTAGTCCCGGCTACAATGTTGTATCTGATTGGTGGAATCGAGACAATCAGCCAATCGCTAAAGAGAGATTGCTTTTCCATTCTGACGTTACTTGGGGCTTGTTTTGTTTGCATTGATCACATGATCTGTGTATCGCCAGCAGATGGCAGTATGCGAATTATCATTTACCTTGATACTATGCCTAAAAGCCATTGTAGTGGATTCAAACTGGGCCCCATTTTTACAGTTGTATATTGCACTTTAAAGCTATACAGACTTACAACATGGGGTCCTTTTTCTTTGTGCTGTTTAGGCAATTGGTAAGTTAATATTAAAAAAATAACGGTCCTAAAATATACTCCCATCTCCATTATAATTACCCACCAATGAATTAATCTGTGCTTCATTTATTAGTTTGTATTTAAGGCCTATTTTGAAGCCATTGAAAGTGAATGTATGGGTAGGGGTTGTTTATTTTAGTATGCCCAGCCGTTTTTTTTTTGTTTTTTTTTACAAGAAACTGGTCCTACATTTGTAGTAATTGGTATTATATTGTTTGCATCTGTTTCCTCTTATACATTTAGTTTTGTTTGCCCTGGTCTTCAAGGATTAAGATGAACACAACTAGAAGTGTGCACAGCCTGTGCTTTGTGTTGTATTTTTCTAATCTAAATCCTGCATTAACAATGTAATTAAGAACACCCATCAGAACCTCCTCCTTACCTTCCGCTCTTGTGTGCAGACTGTGCACGTGTATTTGCACATGTTTGAGTATGTTTGTGTTTGTGTGTCTTCCAGTAAAACGAGGGAGGCAGAACTTTCCTTTCTGTTGCTCCATGTCTCCACTGCCCCACAGTCACAGAAATCACTGGTTGTAGCAGGACAGATTGTTCATGAATTTTGAATTAATCCTTTTGGCTTTAATGAATTAGAAATAGTCTTTGCCACAAGACATGCAAGCGAGTGCCAGCGTGGATAGCTTGGAGGGATTGCCATGCAAAGCGGCACACAGGGTACAGCCATGTAAGGGCAGGGTAGATAAACATATGCTGTGTTTGATCAGACCCAAAACAGATTTTAGCATTAAGGATGCAGCGTCCATTATGTCTCACGGAATCATAGCCATTAGGGTGAAGTACGTCGTACAGTATGTTCCTTACAGGAAACACACGTAGACAGGGTAAGTAGAATGTATAAGTCTGAGGAATAATAATAATCAATGCACACCAAAGGAGGAGACTTACTGTCTGATTACTGAGATATAATGCATCAGCCAAAGTGCACCTCCTTTGTCAGAGGAATACACAAGTCTTCAATTGTTCAACAATTACTTATTTATCTTAATACGTCTGCCATAGGCCTTTGTGTCAGGAAATGTTCAGAGTCAGTGAGGGTGTACGCTTCAGTTCATCTGTTCCTGAACAACAACATAAGTGAACATGAACAGCAGTTATTTAAAAGCAAGAGTCTCTTTAAACTCTGATATAGCCTATTCCACTCTGCCATTGACCTCCTTTTTTGTTCAAAAACTGTTAAAATCACCTAAAGGAGCCACACATTCCTACGTTATCATGAACACTGTAATGTAAGACACTGTAGCTTAACTCAATAACAGATATACTGTCCTGCTGCAGTAAATACCCAGGACACCAAATATGGACCAAAAACAGTCCCCAACATTTACAATATTTACTTGACTCATGTTCATAGGTTATTTTTTACCCTATTAAAGGTGTATATTTGTGACTTGTCACCCTTATATTTAGTGTCTTTTCAAGGGGTTTGCTTGCAAAGACAAACATATTTAGAATTTGCCTGCCTTATCCTTTATGTACAGGTCATGTCAGACTTACTCACTCATGGATGGATTAACCGGCTTGAAAGCCCCAGGGCGAATAGGAGCTGCATGGCCATCACTGACCTCCCCTGTCTTACCCCTCTTTGGGTCTTGTGTACAGTCTTCTATTCTAACATACCGAGGCCTAGGTTAATTGACTAATCATTTTAGTAACATGATATAAATGTGAAATCCTGCTTTTCTTTTTGCAGAAGAGGGAATGCCTTCCAAAGCAACTTTGTATCTGCTTTCAAATCTGAATAAGCTCTGCATGGAGTAGCACTTTTGGACCTTTGAGATCCTTTATTATTTGTTTTTCAGTTTAATTCAATTCAAGGCTGGCAAGAAACTGCGTTCCCACCAAATTCCACAGAGCTCAAACCACTTCACTTTTCTTTCTCTCTCAATTTCTCTCACTCTCCCTATTTATCTCTGTTACTTCCCAGAAAAGCTCCAAACATGCTCCAATTTGTTTCATCATCAACGTTTTGAGCAATTATTTATTTCAAGGTCACTCTAGCGTGATTGTGGCATGATTTCATAGGAGGAATATGGGCCAGTTTCACAAAGTTTATGACCTGGCTGAGACTTATCGCCAACTTGCTGAAACAAACAACAAGCCAACGTCCGATGAAACCACGGCCGCTGCTATGTTCTGTTGGTCTTGGGTGTTTTGCGGCTTTGTGTAGGATTACATGGCTCTGGTTTTTTTCTCTGTTTGAGAGTGTAACTTTGGGTTAATGACACTTTTGCTTACAGCAAAGTGGACACAGAATAATGAGAAGTTGCCAGAGTCAGTCTTGCTACAGCTTGTGCTTCCTTTAATGGGTTCAAACTAAACCAAAAGCTTGTTATATTAAATAAACTATAGTTCAAATGTGTTTTTTGCATTGAATCAAGTGCTGCTTTCATTAATGCTATTCAGTTTTGAGCAAATTAAATTTATGGCTATGGTGACATTTATTATAAGCAAAATCATTTGGAATCCTTTCACATCATCAAAGTCAATATTTCACAAAAAAACTGATAAGAAATGGTCAAACTTTGTTGTCCTTGATTCCTCTTTTGGCAACACAGATGAGAAGTTAGTCTTATGTATCAAATTCCCATCGAAGCCGTTCACATCCTCTCCGCTGACATTCACAACCCTAAGGGCTCAGTTGCCAAGCTGGTCATAGTGTGTTTCTAATCACTTCCAGACGCTCTTTCTCCCAGACGCAGATGAAAAACAGAAGGGGCCCTCTCGACTTCCCGGAAAAATGACGATAATAAACCACCTTGTTCCTTACAGTGGAGATGTAAATGGTTTTATTGATATAAGCAGCAGTAAAATGAAAACAAAAATACATGAATTCCATTTTCCAAAGATTATTAATTTTGCTCCGATGAATAGTGGTAAAATGAAAATTGTACAGATATCACCCTTTTTTCTGTACACAAGTGTGCAAAACACACTTATAAAGAAGTAATTATGCATACAGCACACAAACACACATGCTATCACCATAGGCTATCACACAGTCAAACACACAGGTTTACATATTCACATAACAAATAGTATACGGTGGTGCAGTTTTTTGTAGCTAAATATGGTTTCAACATAAAAAGAAATAATTTCAGGTAATAAACATACTAACTTTCTTTGCTAGAATCAGACCAGAAGATAGATACCGCACTCATATGTCTGTTTGTTAAATATGAAGCTTGCCTACTGCCCGCAGCCGGATAGCTTAGCTTAGCTTAGCGTAAAGACTGGAAACAGGGAAACGGCTAAAAAGAAATCGAAAACATAACACAGTGTTGTTTATTGATCTTAAGAGGTGCTTGCAGGCGTGTTTCGTTAACTTTAGAGAGAGCAAATCAAGCTATTAACCTAATTTACGGTCTTTACGCTAAAATACGCTAAGCTAAGCTAATTAAAGAATAGCTCAACCAAGCTATTGCACAGACATTGGAGGGTGGTCTTCTCATCTCACTCTTAGAAAGTAAATATAACCCTTTATTAAAAAAACGTCAACCTATTCCTTTTTGATTTGGAGAGTTTACCACAACAATGTTAAACTAATTTCATTACACAGGTAATATCGTCTGAGTAAAGTACTGCAACATAACACTTTATAAAAGTGGAGACATATATATTCCATTGGTTACAAGCATAAAATACACAATTGATGATGATGATATCTGCTCAAGTTCACAGTGATAGGAAAAAAGCTCATTCCTGTCCATTTTTGGTGATAATAATGCATTACCTCATATTTATCATTTTCTTGACTTGACTTGCTATGAAAATACAGTTGAATGTAGCTTATCCACTTTAAAACGTACAACCCTGTACTTGATTTTGTGCCAGTGTACTTTATGCTGACATTGGACGTGATTCTGTTGTGACTTTTGGATAACCAAACCAAAAGTGTGGTGGTCTGTGGATCATGATTACATTAAAACGTCTCTTTTTCATCTGAAGGGATGAATCTTTTTGTTCATGAGACATTTTCCTTCTTTGCCAGACAAAACAAATAACATTTGAATGAGCAACTCGAAGCAATATCTGCTAATAATACCACAAAGTAGCTTAATGAATGATGAGTGTGAGTGTGAGAGTGTGCAACCGTTTGCATGATAAATGGAAAAATTAAATGTTGTTATAGCTTTCCTGTTTTCCACCGTTACTGAGTAGTGAACTCCTGGGGACCACACATACTCATCTCCCATCATTCCCACTGACAGCGAGCAGTCTGCTTGTTCCTTCCTGTAGCCTTGTGCATCCTTCCCAGTAGTGCTGCCCTTTACAAGAATAGCATGCTCTGCTTGTGAGTAATTTATAGTCACCGTTAAGCAGCATCCTGTTAAAGAGTTCTCCTCCTCTTCATCTAGCTCTCCCCCTTCTTCTCTCACGCTACAGCGTCACTGTCCGTGGGTGTGGGAATACAAGGAGTCTGTTTAAGGAAGTTTAGCCTACTGAGAGGCTCGGGACACTTCAGAGCATTGTGTGCAAAGATCCATTGTTTGTTCCTTTAATCTCCAGTTCCTAATCCATCCCTGCCAGGCTCATTTGTTGCTTTAGTGGTCCTCAGGATGTGTATTTATTGTCTGAAAAAGTAAATGTATATACTGTATATATATATATCAGAATGTGTATTTTAAAAGCTGCTGGATATATGGAAGGGCTTAAGAAGAATCCTCAGGTGAGAGATCAATCGCTGTATTTCCTGATGCTGCGATCAGTGTGGATGTTGTTGGGCTCGGGGCTTTTACACTGGATACTGGTGCCATTCATGGGTCCTGTGCTGCTTAGTTGGTTGTCAGAGTAACACCAGCAGCACAAGCAAGACTGGAAGAACATGGGAAGAGAAAGACAACTTTTAGAGGAACAGTTCAACATATTGATAAGATACCCCTCCCCTATTTTAAGCCAAATTGAAGGAACAAGTAGATGGTCTAGCAAAAAACTTAAAATCAGGGAATAGCTAAAGTAGCACTGTCCATGCATCTACCACCAAATCTATGCTGACACATTATTCTATGATGTAGAACATGTTTAATCTGTACAAAAGCCTTTATGCCAAGATATTTTTCGAATTATTGGCTAGCAATGTCCCCCAGTTTTTGTGTTAAGCTAACGTAGCTTTATGTAGCTTTAGGGTTCATATTAGTTATTTTCTACATTGTTTTACGTAGAGTTTTTTTCTACATGTGCAGCTTAACAAGGGTTTGCTCCCTCCCACAAATCCTTGAAAACGTGCAAACTTGAGGCATGGTTTATCTCCAGCTCTGGTACGTTTGACAGAAATGTGCGTGTGTGTTTGTCCTCAGCCCCACAAAATTAATACATAAATCAAGAGGCTGCTTTTACATGTTGCTTATGGAATGTCCTCACCATCATAGCCTCTGTGTCATGTACAAAAGGCCTGAGTTCACTGTTTGCTTTACTCACCAGGAAAAATGTGAAGTGCATGTGTGTGTGTTGGTCTGTGAGTGTGTGTGTGTGTGTGTGTGTGTGTGTGTGTGTGTGTGTGTGTGTGTGTGTGTGTGTGTGTGTGTGTGTGTGTGTGTGTGTGAGAGACATAGATACAAAGTTATCGTTTAGGTGTGTTACATTCATTAATATCCATCTGTTGTAAAACAGTACCATACCTTGAAGCAGTTTTTAAACTTCTTGCTGACAAAATAGAGGATAATAGGGTTTATGCAGGAGTTGATTGTTGCAAGGTTGATACCAAAGTAGTCCAGGACCAACAGGAAACTGAAAAAAATACAAATATAAGACATTATTATGATTTTATAGAGCAACACAGAGGCCATTCAAGCTTTTTTCAGCATGGCATTTTATATTAAACACTTCTGGCAGAATCAGCTTTGTTCCTGTTTTTTTATTTAATAAAAATAAAATGTCTATTTTAATTTGTGTCACAACATTGCTATGTCTTGTACATTTGAATACTTAGTTTCCTATAGACCTTCGGGTAACTTCTGTTTAACTAACCTGAGCAGCTCACAGCGCGTATTCTTATCCTGTTGGTAAACCACCTTCTTAATGATCCTGCTGAGGTGCAGTGGGAACCAGCAGAGGGCAAAGATAAGGACGAGGCAGAAGACAGCTTTGGCCACCTCCCTTCTCTGCAGAGAGAAACAACAGATTTGATCCCACCATTAGAGAATAGATGACGTACTTTGTGCTAAGGAGGGTCAGAGGTTACAACTGTATAATAAACACTGCTGACTGAGCCACTGTGGATCATTTTACAACATAAAAAACGCATTTAACATCACATTACAAATGCTTTTACTTTATTTAACACATGATACACATTTATTGGAGTTGTGAGCATGTTGTTATCATTTAGAGGTATGTCTGACCTGTTTGAGGTGCTCACTGAGGGCTATCCGAAGGCTGCCGTTCCTGCGGTTGAGCATCTCGCTGGTCATCAGAGTGTAAAACACAGCGGTGCAGATCAGTGGCACACAGAAGTAGAAGCCAAACATCCACCAGTCTTTTGCTTCCTGATAGAACTACAGGGAAACAAGCACACATGAAACAGTAGTTTATGTCAAACTGAAATTAATTCATAAATTACTTTTGTATGCCATCCAAATGGATCTAATACGTCCTAGGACCTCACGAAACTATCTGTAGTTGCCAATATCCCTATAATGATTCCTTTTGCAACTTAATGCATCAGTAGAGGGATGCTTTCTTTTAAACATTTGGCAGTACAGTTGATGTGGGAATTGAATATCCAAATGAGACATCATGTGTGATATTGTGCTGTACAATAGAAGTACCGTGGATGAAATAGGAACAGATGCTTTGGTCATTCAACCTGAACTAGACCTAAACCGCCACAAATCCCCACTTTGCACTCCAGGGCCATTACAGTCCATGTGAGTGCTACACGTGTGCATGTAGAGTTAATAAGTCTGAAAACAAACCACTTCTAGCCCTTTCGGCTCTTTGTTCTCATAAAAAATAGGCTTAAATGTATGATGATAAAAAAAAAACACAATTTCACAACCCTACAAAATTGACTGAACCCTATTACACAATCTCCACGAAAAGTAAAAAGAAAATAGTTTAATTTGCAGTTCTGCATCAAACTTTGGCCTTGGTGAAAAGATCCTTTATGCGGAACATTTGCTATTTCATTGCTATTAAATAATGCTGTTAAATAATGGCCGGTTTGTTCTGACCTCAGCATGGTTTCGCTGATATCTGAGAGAGATTACTCCAATTTCGTACATATGGAAAAGATATACGCATGTGGCTCAGCTTGAGGCCCCAGATTTCAAGTTTCAGTAATTGCACTTGGCCTGCAACCAATTATGCTTCAAGGATGTGAAAACGGCCACAATCACATGGAGAGAGTGAGTAGACGAGGTCATTTCTTAACGTGATTCAAAATCTTTTCAGTATCAAACACTTGCTTAAAGTTTAAGTTTGGCAAAGTACTCGTCAAGTATAAGCAAGTTGGTATACCAATTGTCTTGTGTTTTTAAATTATTTATTAACCAAGCAGGAAGTTCTTCATGTTCTATATGTGCCCCTATATCACATCTGCCTGCCATCAACAACACTTTTAGACTTTAAACAACACATGTTTTTAAGACAGTGGAAAGATAAAGCTGAACTTTCCCTTTAAGTATTCCTAATGCCATAGGTTTTATCTCAATAATCCAGCATGTTTTGTCTCTTCACTGCAAAATTCAACGCCACTAGTACTGCACCTCGACACAATGTACTCTACAGCACATCCTGGCATTAATATAAGCAAAACATTAGGAGACAAAAACACAACACACTGATTTTCTTATCCAAAGATGATAAGCAAAGGGGTCATAGCGTACCATCATGAAGCCAGTCTTTGTTTCAAGCATGCAGGTGCGTTTGGTTTGGTTCCTGTAGGTGAAATCGACCATGTTGAAACCGATAGCCTCCGGTATTGCAAGGAAGAGAGACAGCAGCCAAATAGTCGAGATCTCTATGACTGTGAGCAGAGGGATGCCCACTCCCTGAACTCTGCTCCAGGAGGCCACCGCCCTGTACCTGTGGAGGGCAGACGCAAAGGGTGGATACAACAATATGTTAGGAAGATTATGTTACTGGAGCAGGAATTATTATGATATAGCACTACTTGGATACAAAATGGAAATCAGAAATGAAAAGATATAAGAAATCAGATATCCATTAAATGTCCCACAGTGGAAAAATGTAGGGGACAATGCAGATAAAGACAAAATAAAAGAGTGAACTAAACTATGGAATAAAAAGGCAAGCACAAGTTAATTAAAGTCAAATATATCCAAGTAGTGAAGTTGCGGCCAGTAATAATAAATAATAGGAAGTAAATATTGCACATTTAACACAGTAACCATGTTATTACACTTAATTAATGAAGACACGGCTGCAGTCGTTCAGTTGCATTCAGTCACTGTTCCGTCATTAAATAGAAATCAGTAATTCATCATTGTCTTTGTCTCCCACGACTGAAGAAAGCTAACAATACCTTTCTTTATGCATGGCAGCACACCAAGCACAACAAACTGCTCAGTCAGCAAATAATATCAAAATGTAAAGAATTAATGAGAGATGATCAATTGTTTATTTTAAATATCTAATATTTATATTTTTGTGAAGCCTCCAAACAGACTGGCCCATGTTGGCAGAGAGGTCTGTGTGTTGGCTCTTGTTTCCCGTGAATACTTGTTTGCTTGTTTGTTTCATTAATGGAAACCACTTGTCGAAATGTTTTAGTAAAATCATGCATCAAGATTTTATGGCAAAAACAATATATTTTTCATGACACATTTGAATTTCTCTGTTGAACAAAATGGCAGCATTCATATTTCACTAAGTGGTAATGTATCCACCTTTTTCTCTTCCTACAACATTGAAAAGATACAAAATAGTCTTTCATTATACAAAAGCACATGCGCAAATACTGAGAAATGCTAAATGTTTCCTTGAAACAAATGGAGAGCATCTGCTCTTGAACACAAACTCTGCAGTGTTCTTCTCAGAATAAATATCATTAAAGATGTGGTTGAACCTTGGTGTGCGTCTTATCTCTAAAGTTGCGTCTAAAGTGGGATCACACTGAGCCTCAGCACTTCATGATCATCCTTTATTCATCAGGGAATTTCTATTAAATTACTATTAAAAAAAGGAGTGTCTGTTCACTTCCAATCAAGATAATATTTTCCTCATTAGCATTATATAAGGTACAGTATATAGTTCAGTGCTTAAAACATACACGTAATGTTGCATATACAAGTCCATTAAAGAAATAAAGAGCATCTTATAAGTTCCTTACACAAGTTTTGAACGCTGAGGCAACACATCAAGCAGAGAGATAAGTAGCTTCTTAGTGGGAATACTCAATATGTATTTTCCAGAAAGCTATCATCATCCCAGCTAACAAACTATTTACGTCATTAAACCAGACTCAAATAAAAATGTCTAAATACTCGATAAAACCAAATGAACATAAGAAGAAAACATTTATGACAAAATAATCTAGATACATTTTTTTAGCTAAGAAAAAGACTATGTATAATTTGGCATTTGTGTTTAGTTATCTTTCCAATGATTTGACTGTACATAGAAGTTTTATTTAATTCTATCTGCTTTCAATGATAATATCTTGAACATTGCGTTTCTATTGGGCCTTCAGCTGGCCTTACAAGACAGTGTAACTTTAGAGCAAAAGTTCCCCCTTTTTATATGTTCCCATGGATAATTAAAACACCAAAGATACACCTTTTATGTGAAAGACAAACAGATATAATGTCCAATACGTTTTGGAGAATTAATTGATCCTCTATATCCTACTTTAGCATTCATGTTTGATCAAAGACCAAATCATAAAACACATGTGCAAAACCTAATATGCAAAGTATATTCTGGGGTCACTTTTTGGTATACAAAGAGCTGCATTGTTGCCTTCATTTGTTTCAGGACTAACAACACGGACCCTCACATGTCATAAATCTAAACTCATGAAGCAGTGTTGAGTGTGGAAGCACTGACCTGTCCACGCTGAGGGCGCACAGGTTGAGAACGGTGATGCCCACAGAGGCTTTCTGCAGGAAGGGCACCAGCTTACACAGAAACAGGCCTAAATCACTGTCTTGAAAAGGGAACCGAGATGCCAGGAGCTGGTGGAGGGAACACAAACAATTACACATGATGAATACTAAAATCACATTTGTAAAGACCTTTATTGTTCAACAGTGTTTTGTTCATCTATTGTATAAGTACAAAGTCATCTGAGTCTTTTTGGAACTAATTATTGACCTTTCTTTTGTTTTTGGATTCTTACTTTCTCATCAATATCTTTTTAAGGCAATTATTCTGCAGATTGGCGTACACGTCATCTTAACGTCAGAGGGAGTCTGACACGGACCATATGGAGCTCATCAGCTGATAACACTTTGCGTAACTTCTTCAAAACATTCTCATGCAAACACCTCATCTCTCAAATCGCTCAACCAAACTTTAATAATAATTCATGATGTTGTCACCAGTATCTCAGAGCCACTTCCACAACCTCTTATATATTACTTCCTTTGGGAAAGTAAGTCAAGGCCACGTGAGTTTTGACCTTTGTTTCCATAAATTTCGTCTTGGCACTTTTCCTTCAATGCAAAGCCAAAGGATGAACTCCATGGTGCTTCCTGGCCTCTATTGTTTACTTGTGCTGTTTTAGTTTCCCAGGAGCACAGAAGAGCAGCAGAGAGGAAAGGAGCCCACCAATGTTTTCAGTGTTTATTAAGTGGATGATTATTTTTGGAAACACTGTCACAGCCCTTAAGGAAGTGAAAAAGGGGATACAGTATGTTTTCAACATTGTAGTCGTGGCTCTTTCTTTGTTTGTTCATAAACAGTTCCCCCCATAAGGTTTAGTTTCCTTTCTGCACATGTGTTGCTGTTTGGTTAATTCTTACCAGGTGGCTTTCTCGTTTTTCATTCACAAAATGGCCCACAATGCATTTAAAGAATCAAGCTGAGTGATGACTCCATTATTCTTTATTATTATACAAAGCATGACACTATTTATTGTTATAAATCAACCCAGGACAGGAGCTCAAGCTTAATTTATCATTATTAAACGCCTCATATTTTTTAAAACCACAGTCCAAAAGAAAACAAAAGTGAGTCACCCAAAATCAAAACACGAAATTGAAACCGGCTGCTGTTTCTCTCACTAACTACTACATGAACTTGTATTAATGTTTTCTAATACAAAAAAGGAAATTAAATAATCTAACTTCCAATGAAGACCAGCTGAGAATAATAAAACTTAGAATTGTATTTACACTGTCACATAAGTCAACTTTTTTAACTTTAACTTGGATACAAGGTTAAAGATGGGGCTGTGTTTAAAACTCAAGTCATTATCACTTGAGTAACACTGGGACTTTAGATAAAGGTCAGTGACTAATGTCCCAGGTCAATACAAGGCCACTGGCATGTGTGACTACAGCCTGATTTGTGTGTTTATTTAAGACGGCCATATCCCTGCTCCTCTCATCACTAATCTACCCACACGAGGGAGATAACGGCGTCCAACTGATTACACTTTCCCGTCTATTGGCCCACTCCCTTACACCCCTTTCCTCTTCCCCCCATTTTCCCGTTTGTAATATTACACTTTATCTCTGCGTATCGCTTCCATTGTTACTGCGTTTCGTCATATCAACACAGAGACCTGTCACTCAGCAGCTTGGTTTTGAAAACAAGGTCAAGACTTTAATTAAACATGCACCAACAGAGTGAAACTGTACCTTGTATGATGTAATGGGTATAACGATGATTATGTAGATAAGATCCCCCAGTGCCAGACTGGCAATGAGAGCGTTCGGCCCGTTCCTCATGCACTTGTGCTGGTATATAATCCTCAGAAGGGTGGCGTTGCCCACCAGGCCCACCACAAACACTATAATGGAAATGATGGTGTTTATGTACTTAAAATAGTCATTAATGGAGGTAGGGTGGAGGCACATCGGAGGCCGCATCGACCTCTTTACGACTGTTTCATTTCCAGATCCCACAGCTTGAACATCAGGCACCGCGACCGCCAGGTGGAGGCCGGGCCCTGTGCTGGGGGTGACGGTGCTGTAGAGACCCGGAGACTGACGAGTGGAGTGGACGAGGGAGTCATCCTCTGCCTGAGTTCTGTTTGTCTGGCACATTCCTCTGGCTGCCATACAGGCCATTAGCACCAACATATGCACAGCTGGGGTGCCCATTATGGAGCACATTCAGCGCTTTGATTCCACTGATTGAAAGACTGTCCCAATATATCCCTGCAGTGAGAGAAGAAATACAAAAAACAAGGGAAAATGTGGGTTATTTTTCATGTGACGCTCATTCCATCAACTTTAACGTTTTCGCATGTTGCCTCCACTTAAAACCCAGCCAAAGTTGAAAAATATATGTCAGTTACAGGAATGTTAAACAGCATTAATGTCCTTTCAAAAGCTGTGACAAAGTTTAACAACTCCTTCAAGACTTCAAAAAGGTTTTGCCAAGGGGGTACAGATGGGAGATGCCAGGACTAGTTATAGTCAGGCGGTTCAGAGTGAGGCATCCGCAGAGCGTATTGGGCATCTTGTTTGCTCTCAGTCGTCCCTGAAAAAGGGAGCTGTCGGTTATGGCTTTGTGTCAACAATACACAGTGCAGCCACACAGTGCAGGTTGTCGTGCTGTTTTCCCAGTGAGCCCCTTGCGTGGGTTTGTAACCGAGAGATTTCCTCAGTTTTGCATTCTCCTTCTGTTTCTAATTTAGAAGGGTTTCAACATGTGGTTACAAAACAAAGAGCTTTTATTTGAACATGGAAGAAGTGCTGCAGGGCTGATTTCCAGTCAATGTTACTTCAACCCGAGCATAAAGAATCATCTAAATCTGCAAAGTAAAATACATACTGAGGTTATAGCCTGAATTCCTTTGTGGATTCTTTGGTTCTTTTTTTTTTTTTAAAGTTTACTCATATGTCTGTCTTCACCTTTTTCCCTCCAAAAAGGAAAACAACACCAAACTTTCTGGACAAAATCAGAGTAATTAATTCCACAAAGCTCCAGGTAAAGAGCACATAAAGTTTCAAGCTGTCAGATTGATGGTGAAGCCCTTTTCATCATGCCACAGCACAAGCAACTCTTATAGCCCAGAGTTCTTCCTGTTCAAAGTCCCAGCTGTCACCAAGTACACAAAGAACTATTTAGCAGCCAGCCCTTCAAGTAGCATCACAGTTTAGCATCAGCATGACACTACTGGGATCTGTGACAGCACACAAACTGATCTATCCATAAATAATAAATACATTTGGTTTTCACCTACCGCTTCTAAAATGTCTGCCTGGCCCCCTTGGAAACCGTCAGGCAAACTTTCGGCTGAAGCCCCCAGACATCTGTATCACATCACATGAGTAATTAACGCACTATCAAAGCCGCACCGTATCCCACTTGGTTTGAGCAATGCACCCGTCTGCTCTGAGGTGCCTTCGCATTATGGCTCAGAGTTTCCTGTGGAGAGTTTGCAGTATGTCTGTGTGTGTGTGTGTGTGTGTGTGTGTGTGTGTGTGTGTGTGTGTGTGTGTGTGTGTGTGTGTGTGTGTGTGTGTGTGTGTGTGTGTGTGTGTGTGAAATCTACCTTGGCTTTGGGTTGAGGNAGGTATCTAATTACTTATTTATTTAGAATCCCATAAGTTAGTAACAGAGATGGACAAACTAAAGTGGTAGATAAATGGCATAAATCCTACAATGAAGTGTTCTCCTGTGAGAGGGCGATCAAGAAAAGAGAGTGAGCAGATGACAGCACTGACAAGGTGTGTTTCCCGCAGCGAGACGCTACAATACTAATTGTGGGCTCATCACGTTGATTCGGCCACAATAGAAAACAAAAAACAACTCTCGCTCTCTCCAGAGGGGCAGGTCAGACAAAAATGGCAAACGGGCTGTTGCCCGGGCAACATTAGCCCGTACCTGTGCACGTCCCTGCTGTTGATCAATACATTTCCAATGAATTGTTCAACCCTATTTGGTGCTATGAAAAAAAGATCTTTCACTTTCTCATGAAATGGGTATATTTGAACATTTAGCACTGGGGTTTTTGTCATGCTTTTATCTGCAGCAGGGAGCCGTTGCCATGGAGAGAATTAACACATTGAATTAGACACAGTTCTGTGGGCTAATATTTCTACAATTTGTGTGTTTCCCCATAAGATCTAATGCTGAATTGTTCACAGTGTATCCATTAAAGTACAGACAACCGCCACTGGATATGTTTTGACACCAAAGAATATGACAATTACTAGGAAAGATCTCAAGAAGCAGGGCTATGATGTTAATGCCCAATCTGAGACGACGCATATAATACGCATATGCACTTGAAATATCATGTCTTGCTGATTTCAGGAGAACTTGTGTTTTGATTTGGCTTAAAGAGAACCTGTAAGAGTTGGGTGAGGAACTACAATAAGGCCCCGTTGGCAAAAACTCTCAAAATGGTAACGCTTAATTAAGTGATCCTACTGAGGGAATACAAAAGAAAGTAGCTAGTGTTTGGCAGTGTACAGCGTTAGCACCGAGGACACCACTGGGAACAACTCTTAATGCTTCTGACACGACTCATCAATCTAAAATGGTCATTTGATCAACAATCACAGAGCGGCAAAGAACTGTCTGTGATGGTTTCAAGAAGCGTCCAACTGCATCTGCAGGGGAGGCAGCACTGCTGTGAGGAGGACTGTGTGTATGGATACTAAAACGGACTATAAAACATTACTTATAAAAGTTATTTTATACAATTTTGCTATAAACTGAGAGTAAAGGAGAGTAGGTCTGATTGTATTTACTGTAACAGACAATTGGGCTACATATAGTGCCAGGTTGGATTTTTCAAATGTAGGAATGCCCAGTTATGTATATTCCAATTTCCATGAATCTATCATTATCTAGGGTTCTGACATGTCTCTTTGACTCTCCTTGCCACTCACGGATATTTATACACAAAATGGTTGAAAATAATACAATTGTTAGTGTCTCGTTTTCTGGAGCCTTTTGTATTTACCACTCTGCTGAGTTTGATTTCTCTGAAATTACCATTTATCTAATGTATTATCACTTTGAAACTTTCACTTTCAGATTACCATATATTTTCGCTTTGGTTTTTCTGTCCTGCGTTTCCGGCTCGATTTCGTGAAACCTGGTATAAGGGTGTAGCATGGGCCGACAAAAAACCCATTTGGATTCACGGAGCGTATCCGAATCACTGGGTGGATACCTGCATTATTTTAAAGTTTTCATTTATCTTCTTCAAACTTTCAATCTTAGATTACCAATGGTTTTGGAATATTATGTCTGTTCATCAGAAGGCTTAAAAAACACTTCACATAAAGTTTTCTTTGCCAGAGTAAGATGAGAAGGTTTATTTCTACTCCCGAAATATGAAGTTCAGTTTATTGGATGTTTTTTTACCTAAATGTATCAAAGGAGTAACACTTAGGTTCTCACCTAACATGTTACCTACAAATGTCTCTTTCATATCCAAAACATGTTTAATCTCTTGTACTGAGGATTCAACCAGGACTGTTTTATATCCCTCTAAGTCACATGTGTCAAACTCAAGGCCCGGGGGCCAAATCCGGCCCGTGGTAGATTTAATTTCGGCCCGCAGGATAATTTCTAATTACTATTAGATCTGGCCCGCCGGTATATTGCACGCACACCTTCATTCCATCCTGAGGGTCTCCTCAGCTCAGAGCCTGAGCCGAAACATTGATGACCTTGCACCCGAGATGAGATGCCAAGTATCTGGACTAGCAACACAGAGCAGCACACTGACTTTCCATGGTTGTTTCCTTCTGCACTTTTTCTCTCACGACAACAGGGCATGTTTGGTTTGTTCTTTGAGGAAAATAGTTTTTTTGAAGCTGTTGTTGGCCTGTACATTTTTCCACAGGCCAACAACAGCTTCAAAAAAACTATTTTCCTCAAAGAACAAACCAAACATGCCCTGTTGTCGTGAGAGAAAAAGTGCAGAAGGAAACAACCATGGANAACGGGATCGAAAGATGACTTTTCTCTCTCCATTGACGTCAATGTATAATTTTCCGCTTCCGGGGTCCCATGGGTCGGAAGTAGATGGGCGGGACTTCGCCTCTCTATTGTGGCCGAATCAGCATGATAAGCCCACAATTAGTAGCGTCTCGCTGCGGGAAACACACCTTGTCAGCACTGTCATCCGCTCGCTCTCTTTTCTTGATCGCCCTCTCACAGGAGAACACTTCATTGTAGGATTTCTGCCATGTCTCTACCACTTAAGTTTGTCCATCTCTATTATTAAGTTATGGAATACTAAATAAATAAGTAATTAGATTCCTTACCGTTACTGTGCTCATAAAAAATGATAAGAATAAGACTAATGCGTATTCAACTGGTTTCATTAATTAGTGAGTTTATTTTAGGTAATTAGTTAGAAGCCCTCAGTATGTCTGCACAGCAGTTACAATGGTCAAACTACATTAAAACAGGATTGTCCCCATATTTTCTTTAATAGTTACTAACATTAGATATTTTTATGAGATAAGGACCGCAACACAAAAAATGTGCCTGAATAACGAATTTAGCAGAGGACATAAAAGTCAATTGAGTGTCACTTGCAATGACAGTGTTGTGTTTTTATTTTATGAAACTTTTACATTAAAAACAAGTTCGAATTTTTTTCGGGGGGGGATTTTTCCAGTTTAGAGCAATAGCCCCTCCAAATGTCTGTGCACGTCCCTGATCAACAGTATAACATATTCCCCCTAGATGTACATATACAAATGCACTTTATGATGACAAGTTGTTTAAACGCTTTTGGTGTCAAAATGTTTTGTCTTATGATCAATGTAAGCCCCACAGCAAGTGGATGTTTTTGCTGTAAAATTGTGAAATAAGAACAGCAAAATTAGGGGTATTTGTGTAAGTACGGCGCTGTCTTTATAATGGAAATGGAGTAGCAAACAATGGAAAGGGAGCATCAACGAAAGAGAGCGATGCAAACTGGCATAAAAAGATGTTTCCTACCCCTTTTGATTCTGAGAGATTATTGCCATGCTGTGATAAAGGCTTCATATCCCAAATAGGCCTAAAGCACCAACATTTCTTATGCTGAGCACTTCCAAAATGGCTGCCAAAAGATGTGTGATTACCATGGCTGTATAAAGGACACTTGACAGTGTCTCCTGTTCATTATGAAATTGTCTCGAGCGCATAAAGCCACAATGGCTGACTGCAGAGTATAACATTACTCGAATCTCTCTGCGATCTTTCTTCTGTCTTTACTTTTCACTTCCTTACGTATCTATCTGGTTATTTTTGCCTTAGTCATTAATTTCAGAGCATTCAGCCGGCTTCTCGAGTGTACATTCACGTATTGATCTGAAACACCTCTAGGCTACCCTCCATCTCCGCACCGAAACGTCCTCTTTCTCTTTCTCTCATTCAAACCACATGTACCAGCGCATTGTGTTGAAGCTAGCTCAGTGTACTGCAATAAACCAGTTGCAGGCAAAGGACTGCACTGTGGAACTGCCAGTAGAGACATGATAGTCTGTGGCAGGTAGTGTGTGATTCTTTCCCATTCCATTGTCACATTTTCTCTCTCTCTTTCGCTCTCCTTAGAAACAAGATAAGTTTGTTGAAAACTCTTTGTTGTTGCGGGCCATTCTCTGTCGTCTCCTGAGCGTAACTTTATATCCACGTGATAGATATAGCCAGACCATGAAAAGATGTATTGGTTAATTAATGTAATGGCGTGTGTGTGTGTGTGTGTGTGTGTGTGTGTGTGTGTGTGTGTGTGTGTGTGTGTGTGTGTGTGTGTGTGTGTGAGAGAATATGTTGTGAGTGAGCATTTGTACAGTGTGTGTGAATATGAGTGTGTGTTTTAACGTGTGTTTTGTCTATGGAATTGAGCAACATAAAGAAAAAAGGCTCATTACCTCAGAACCAGGAACACAAATTGGAACCAATGGCCTGGTCATTCTTCGACTTATAATTAATGATGCAGCATGCTTCCATCCTGAGCGCCTATCCCTGCACTTTTTTCATCACAGATACACCTTTTACCACACAATTTAACAGGAATAATATTGCACAGGTGGCACTGCTGGTTTTGAGGTAGAAAAATAAATTACACTGGCAGAAAGTTCACATTTTATACCAGCTGGAAGAAATGTGTGCCGGGGAAGGTAATGAACAAAAGGCGAAGTGTAGCAGACTGCGGTGGTGTTGAGCAGCTGCCAGGTGTGAATTTGAATCTGATCCGGGCCGTGACTGGAGGAGAGCATGGGGCAGTCAACTTTCACCACTTAATTAGGTATTAAAAAAGCCTTCATGAGAAATATGTCAATCAATCAATCAATCAATGTTTATTTATATAGCCCAATATCACAAATGTTACATTTGTCTCAGTGGACTTCACAGTTTGTACAGAATATCAGTATGACAATACGACACCCTCTGTCCTTAGACCCTCACATCGNTGATTATTTAATGTTTAATGTTGTTTTTATAGGCAATCATTTAAGCTTTGTTAGTTCCAGGTTTAATATGTGCAATAAGTTCT